CTTATCTAAATGGTGAGAGCTTGTAGAACATGCAGAGGGATCTGGGCATCCTGGTGTATGCAGCAGTGAAGGTCAGCAGGCTGGTACAGCTAGTAATCAGGCAAACTAATGGAATACTGTGGCCTATTGAGAGGGAAATCGAATGCAAAAGCAAGGAGGTTATGCTTTAAATACAGACAGCATTGGTGAGACCACATCCGTTCATTTTATTGTTCATTCATGGCACATGGGCATCCCTGGCTGTGCCAGCATTTATTACCCATCCTCAGTAACCTTTGAGACGGTGATGGTGAGCCGTTTTTTTGAGCCACTGCAGTCCATGTCGTGCAGGTAGACCTACCAGGGAGTATCTGGGATACTCTGTACAGTATCGTTCTCCACGTTTAACAAAAACTGCGCTGGGTGCAGTGCAGGGAATATTTACTGTCTTATGAGGGGGAAGGTTTAAAATTAAGTGTTGGTTGAGTTAAGACTAAAAAGAGGAGAATTGTTTTCCTCTAAAGGGTCGCAAGTCTTTGAAATTCCTTGAAAGCGATCAGAAGCAGAGAGACTGACTATTTTTTTAAGGCAAAGTTCGATAGGAAACCAGGGTGATTGGTAATCAGGGAAGAAGTGGGCATGGTGTAATCCAGTGTGCCAGGAGTCTTGTTCAAAGGCATAGCAGGCTTAAGGGTCCTGAATGGCCTACAACCATATGCTTGTACTTCAAATCTGGTAAAATGGTCACTGAGCTTCCAACCAACCCACTGCTGTTAGCGCCACAGCTTCCATACCTCTGTACTCCACTAATATCTCCAGCACAATAACCAAGTCGACTCAACACATAGCCACAAGGACTGCAGGCCTCTCCTTCATACAGCTTCATATAGCTGTGCCAGTCAACAGGGCTGAACAAGATCATCTTCTCCATCCGAATCCCCACTCCACCCCCTTTCCCCTCCCGCCCCCTCCACCAGATCCTATTACAGCTGACCTGGGCTCCCCCTTCACTCTCTGCTGGTGAGTGACCCAGTTTCACCGTTCTGCCAACAGATGGCAGCCTCGTCTCACAAACTGTTGGTCTCTTCTCGACCCAGCAAAGAGCCCCTCAGGGATTTGTGGGTAGGCTGGAGGTGGGGAGTGGGGAGGACATAGGGGTGGTGTCATATTTATCGCAGCCACACAACACCTCCCCCTCTTCCCTTCCACCTCCGAAACCAAAGCCTCACCCCACCCCGTACCCCAACCTCCTCGTGTCTCGCTCCTGCGTTGTCGACCATCCCTCACTCGAACCACTCTCTCTGATGTCCCACTAGCCACCTCAGCACTGGCTGACTCCATGCCAGCTCACTTCCGAAGGACAGCAGCGGAAGAGTGGGTGTGAGAGGTCCTGCCTGTCTGAGGCGGGTACCAAAACCCTAGGGGTCAGTTAGCTCAGTTGGCTGGACATCTGGCTTGTGATATAACGTGATACCAACAGCATGGGTTCAGTTTCCCCCTGCAGCTGAGCTTACCATAAAGTATTCTCTTTGCTCAGACCTTTGCATATAGGAGTCACGCTGGGGTTATACAGGACAATGATGAGGGCTCTTCCTTTTGTGCTGTTATAGCAAGAATATTATTAAACTGGAGGGGATTCAATAAAAGATTTACCAGGATGTTGCTAGGATTGGAGGGTTTGAGGTATAAAAATAGACTGGAAAGACTGGGACTTTTTTGACTGGAGCGTCAGAGGCTGAGGAATGACCTTACAGAGGTTTATAAAATCATGAGACAAGGTGAATAGCCAAGGTCTTTTCCCAAGGGTGGGGTTCAAAAGTAAGGGTCATATTTTTAAGGGTGACAGGAGAAAGGTTCTAAAAAGGGCCTGAAGGGCAACTTTTTTTTTTTACGCAGAGAGTGGTTCATGTGTGGAATGAACTTGCTGAGGAAGTGGTGGATGTGGGTGCAGTTACGACATTTACAAGGCATTTGGATGAGGACATGAATAGGGAAAGGTTTGGAGGTATGTGGGCTGGGAGGAGGCAGATGGGACTAGTTTAATTTGGGAACATGGTCAGCACGGACTGGTTGGACCGAAGGGTCTGTTTCCGTGCTGTATGGTTCTGTGATTCTACCCTCACCCGGAGGCACGTTGACCCTCAAGTTAAACCACCACCAGTCATCTCTCTAATGGAGAGAGCAGTCCACTGGGACTATGGTGACTTTTCCCTAAAACTCCACAACACGTGTTCAAAGTTGGGTTCCTGGGCAGCATCTAGGGCCTCAGTTCACAGATGTTAGCGGCAGCTTGTCGTGTGAAAATTGATTGCTGTACCCATTGTTCGAATGACTGCCATCATGACCTTGAGGTCAGCTGACTGCGTGGGGACTCCCGAGCGCCTCGGAAGATGTGAGGTGCCTCCAAATCCTTTCTCCTGCGGCTTTTCCTCGGGCAATTCCAACTCAGCAAACCGTCTGATAGCCCTGGGCTTCTCAACGGCCCCCGCAATCCCCAGCAAGCAAATCTGCCGTTTGACTGGCATGGACTCAATGGGCCGAAGGGCCTTTTATTTTCGGTGCTGCAGACCTCAAAGGCTCTATGGGGAGAAACGTCCTCAACCAGAGACTGGGGTGCGTGTGGAATTCTCTGCTACAGGAAGTGTTTGAGGCCAAAACATTTTCAACGAGAAATTAGATAACAGTTCTCACAGATTACGGGGGAGGAAGCGTGGAGACTGCGTTGGACGATTAGCCACGATCATGTTGAATGCTGGAACAGGTTAGAAGGGCTGAATGGCCTACTCCTGCTCCTATTTTTCGTTGTTTTTGTGGGCCAAGGACTTCCCAGGGTCTGTGGTCAGACTTCGACAAAGTCACGAAGCATTCTGGTACATTAAACTGTTGCTCACGGGCAGAGGGGTCAGTAAATGAGGTTGGTGACTAACTCACCCCCTGACTTCCCAAAGCCTGTCCCACCCCTAACAAGGCACAGCTCAGGAGTGTGATGGAATACTCCCCACTTGCCTGGATAGGTGCAGCATCAATAACACTCAAGAAGCTTGACACCATCCAGGACAAAGCAGCCCACCACCACCCCCCCCCGCTTGATTGGCACCACATCCGCAAACAACCACTCCCCCCACCATCAACGCTCAGCCGCAGCAGTGTGTACTATCTACGGCACTGCAGAGAGTCACCAAAGCACCTTCCAATCCCGTGACCACTTACAGGGAGAAGGACAAGGGCAGCAGATACACGGGAACACCACCCTCCTGCAAGTTGCCCTCCGAGCCACTCACCATCTTGACTCTGAAATATATCGCTGTTCCTTCACTGTCATTGGGTCGATCATCCTGGAGTTGCCTCCCTGACCACACTTGGAGGGAACTTGCGCCTACACCCTGAAGACAGTCGCAGTCCAATTCGACACCTCACCACACTTTCTCAATGGTGGGTGAAGATGGACAATGGAAGCCAACAATGTCTACATCTCGGGATATAATGGGCCGAATGGCCTCTTCCTGTGCATCTCTTGTTGATTGGATCACTCTTGACATATCACAGCCGAAACCAAACCCCCGAATCCTTTTGGAAAAAATTTGTTTTCTTTCCGTTTTTATTGGAGTTGGGCATCATGGGGGGATGCCAGGCTTTCTTCCCCATCACTGGGGAATCAGTCGGGTGGCTTGTGGTTTCAGTGTCAACTCCACGGCTTTAGGGTCTGGAGTTACATGTACACCAGACCAGGTAAGGATGGCAGAGCTCCATCCCTAAGTGAACCAGATGGGGCTTTTTTTTGCCCTGACAATTGGCAGGGGTTGCACTTTCATCATTAAATGCTCAATTCCAGATTATTACTGAATTTCAGCATCTGCTGTAGTGGTACTGGAACCCAGGTCCCCAAAACGTTATGTGTGTCTCTAGATTAATAGTACCACAAGGCCATTTCCTACTCGTCTGGGCACTTGGATTACGACAGCGTCTTTCACAAGCTGAGGGCTCACCCAAAAGTGTGTTCCAGCTCATTCGAGCTGGTAGTGTGGGCAGATCTCATGGGGCACATCTGCAGTCTCTGAGCAAGAAGCTGTAAGTGTGAGCTAAATATTCCACCCAATAGTCAACCTCACACAGAGCCCCAACGTCAACATTCTGTCTTTTACTAATGACCCCAAACGTGTTTGAGGCCATATTGCCTACCTTCGAAAGAAATCAGATTCACAAGCATGAAACAGAGATGAACAAATATCACCTGATTTACACAATCACCAAGGTCAGTATTAACTCGACCGCATCTAGCAAGGCCAAATCTTTCTATGTGTCACATAGCACACCACTATTACAGAGGGATAACACTCCTGGATATATAACACAATGTGTGATAGGGGGTATAACACTCCTGAATGTAGTACACACTGTGTGTTACAGGGGTATACCACTCCTGGATATATTGTATAACACACTATGTGTTACAAGGTCTAACACTTAATTATTATATAACACACTGTGTTACAGGGATAAAGCACTCCTGGATATA